CCAGCCAATGAGATTTCGTTTCTTGGTTTAAGACCACTTTGTGCTTTCACGATTGGTTGCTGATACAAAGGAAATGACCATATTTGGATCCGATGAGATTGTGCAGGAGAGACGGAGCTTTCCAGCGATACCTCTTTTGACATGGTGCACACAGCGGTCGCGGTACTTTATGTTACGTTAGAATGCTAACTTTTGGTGAATTTAGGAGAAATCTACAGACGCAAATAGACAAACTATAGTAAAATAAACACTTAAATGTGTATTTTGTACGTTTTCCTTCCAAAAGCCTGAAAGAAAACATGTTATGGACTCAAAATAGCACAAAATCTCAAAATTGACCAGTACTTGAAAAACGATGTTTTTGCCTGCCGTGTCTCGCCTTCAATCTGTATTCTAGTTCCCTCTGTCAGCAATGTATCAACAACTACACACACATTTCTATCAGTATTTCTCTGTGTTGTGGTTGACATGATGATGACTGTTAGGAGTTAAGGGGAGAGGCTGAGCGTCACTATGAAATGTGCAAATTGACATAAAAATGAATATAAGGGGAAAAAATGCTCCATGTTTTTTAGGCTGTAAACTTTAACTGTCATGTAAGCCAACTAGACAGACAGTGTATCACTCTTCCTCCTGTACGTTAGCAGATAAAGGCATCACATAATGAATGAATGGTAAATAAAGAATGCTGGAAATAACTGCATCTCCATTAGCCTGTATGCTCTGCAGAGACTGCCTTCTTCATGTCCTGAATTGCAGCTGATGTTTTAAGATGGCAATTGGCAATTTGACTTATACAACATTCGCAAGTTGTACATTTGACTCATACAATAACCCACCTTCGAGTGATGCTCTATTTTCTTCAAGTTTTGTTTTTTTTCCCTCTAGCTTGCGACGGACTGAAACTGTCTTTTCACCGACATCTCTTCACCTGCACTAGTGGCCGTATCAAAGCCGTGATTGGTCAGATGTCGATTCATTGCAACGGTGTCGGGTTACAGACGTGTTCCCCTTGTCACCTCTCACTCTCGCGTGTCAGCCGGGGGTGCGCAGAGAATTGAGCGCAGCAGCTGAGGCCCTCTGGGCGGGGCCCCCTGCGCAAGGCGGGGCCCCATGCAGCCTGCGTGATTGGCCTGTAGGGAGGGGCGGCCCTGTTTGTGAGTGACTTTCGGTGCAGTCATCTGTTAGCATTTTTCACTCGTTGCTAATTCAGAGGCTCAGCGTTAGCGTTGTGTTTTTAAAAAAAAAAAAAAAGTGTAAATGATCAGTTAGATGAGTTTCTTTCCGTTACATGGATATACAACATTCATAGTTTATTAAATGAACATGCCCTCAGACACTGTTTCCTGCAAAATGTTGCGGGAGGGCCCGGAACCGGGGTCTCTCGGGCTGAACAGGTTAAGAAAATGGTCCCACTGCAACAAAGCTAAAATCCAATCATCCAAAATGGTCGCAGCGTGAGTAAGCGCATCTCAAGCTCTTCTGGTTGTCGCTGTTAAATTAGCTCTTTAAAGCTCATATCATTGATCCACATGATCTGAACCCATGAACTTTTGTATAACATAGTAAAGCGGCTCAATACGGTCTCTGGATTATTGTATTTTTTGCATTTGCAACCATGGAGGGAAACATGTCTGCAAACTTTGTGGGACGCGATTCAGCAAATCAAGACCGACATGCTGACTCACATTGACTCAAAAATGGATCCCATTCAAAGTAGCTTGAGCAGGATACACAATTCCCTGTCTAGTTTGGGAGACCAGGTCAATTTGTTAGAGCAGCGTGTCAGGGCTAATGAGGACAATGTACACAAGTGTGTTGCTCGAGTCAAGCAGCTTGAGAAAGACAACTCCTTCCTAATGTCCAAAGTTGATGACTTGGAGAACCGGAGCCGACGTTCTAACCTTCGCTTCGTATGAATCCAGGAGTCCGCTGAAGGCAGTGACATTATCGGCTTCATGTCTCGGCTCATCCCGCAGCTCCTGGGGCCAGATGCCTTCCCTGCCCTGCCGATCATTGAGAGGGCACACCGCTCGCCGACTGCCATCATGATCATGATCATGATCGAGCTGCTGAACTTCCAGGACAAAGTAAAAATCCTTCGTCTAGCCAGGGAGAAAAAGTCTCTGGACTACAACGGGAAACACATCAGCATATATCCCGATTTCAGTCCCGAGCTTACCAGAAGACGCCGGAGCTTCGATCCAGTCAAACGCAAGCTCCGTGAACTCAACTTGAAGTACTTTCTCCTCTACCCGTGCACCCTCTGCATTGTTGTTGATGGCACACAACAACGCTTCTCTACCCACAAAGACGCGGAGGCAATCTTCATGTCTACCTCAAACTCTCCTGGGTGACGAACATCCCTAGAGATGAGGCTGCTGCTAATGGTAGCATGTTGATCCACTTCGATGATGCAGCTAAGTGACTTTCTCCTCGGTTTCCTCTCTTCTCTTGTTTTTTATTTTTCTCATCTTCTCTAAAAACAGAGACCTGTTTACGTGACGTGTCATGACTGCTGAGATGTTGTTGACACTAGTGTTCATTTCGTTGACTAAAAAGAAATATGTTCGTAAACGAGACGATGACGAGACGGCACCGACGGCAGTAAACAATAACTGTAACGAAATCATCATGCAATATCGTTGACGAAAATGTAGTTTACTAAATAAAAACTATGCAAAAATCTCTCTTTACTTTCGTTGACGAAAAATGAGGAGACGGAATATTATCAAAGATAACGTTACATCTCTGATAGTCAGTTTTTCTCCCAGCAGTTCCACTTCCGGTGCTGCGCTGGCGGTACATTTGAATTACACCGGGCAGCGGCACACTGTGAACTGTCAGGAAGACTCGGGTCTAACTCATGGTCTAACTAACCTTATTTAACAGAAAATAAAATGACAACAACAGGGCTTGGGAGCAGTGGTCGCACTCGCGTTAACCGAATACCCCCCCGTCAGCGCGACTGAGTGATAAATTGTGCACTCGACGGGTAATAATGGATAATGACGGAAATGTTACGATCCTGTCGGTCAAAATGACTGACAACGAAAAAGTCTAAAGCCACCACTGCTTGGGAGAAAGAAACAATGTGATATTTGGGCCCATTTTCACTACAATGAGGCGGAGAAAAAAAGTGAATGCATTGTTTCATCAGAAGGGAAGCAATGTGGCCAAAACATAGCAGGTAAAAACACCACAAACCTGACCAGATACTCTCTGCAAAGCTTCTCAATCATTCAACCTGAGTTTTTCATCAAATAAGGACAAGATATAATCTTATTTATTTATATATACTAAAATGACAAAGTATTGGTTTTGGTTAGACCAGTTTGACTGAAATGTTCTATATAATCTGATGACTAAAAAAGACTCAACAGTTTTCATTGACAAAAAGTAGACTAAAATAATTAGTTTTCTTTGACTAAAATAAGACTAAAATGCTCAGACTTTTAGTCGACTAAAACTTGACTAAATAAAAACAGGATGAAGGTGACTAAATATGACTAAAACTAAAAAGGAAATGTAACACAGGACTAAGACTAAAACTAAATTAAGAAATAGCTGACGAAATTAACACTAGTTGACACTTTTTTTTGTGTTTATTATAACAGGTGGGCACCCGCCTGGTTCTATTTCGTATATGGCTTCGCCCTCTAAGGCTATCGCTATTGGGTTTACCCTTCTGCGCCCCCGCGCAGTACTGAAAACACTTGTAGTCCACGCCCACCCGCTAGGTGGGCCCCACCCTCGGGCCTCCTTCCGGTATAAATAGGGAGGGTGCCCGGCGATCTGCTCCCTCTTTTCTTCAGCAACCAGCAGTTTACTGAAGCATGAGAAAAGCATCATGAGCAATAAAGAGTGTGTCTGTATGTGCCCTTCGTAGCAATACGGGCTACATTATGAGCTACGATTTGCATCCGATATGCGCAGCCTGTCTGGGGCCAGAGCACGCGGACGCGGCTCTCAGCCAGCAGGTCGCATGTCCTCACTGTGTGCGTCTTCCTTCATCCGACAGGAAGCGAAGGGCGGACGCTCTAGCTGCTGCGGGGGAGGAAGACGTCTGGGATGGGCAGGAACCCATCCAGAACACACCACCGTGGCTCCAGAGGAGGCGGAGGAGATCGCTAAGGCGGCCAGCATGGCGCTCTCGCTGTGCGCAGCCGTGGCGGTGTCCCAGGCGAGGATTACGGCCTGGATGACACAGATCCAGCGTCACCTCTGGTTACAGCAGGCAGCGGTCACAGAGCCAGCCAGGAAGGTTTTACTGGACGCTCCGATCAGCTCGGACGGGCTGTTCGGGCCCCAGTTCCTGACCATGGTTGATTCCATGAAGGCGGCATCGGAGCAGGCGGAGGACATCCGCCAGCACGTCGGCTGGCTCCAGCCAGCGGTGAAGCAGCAGCGATACCAGCGGCAGCAGCAGCAGCCGACCCGGCCACAGCGGCAGACGGACAGACACCAGCAGCAACAGCAGCCGAGGCGTCAGAATCGTCCGTCAGCGGCGGCTGGGGCACCGGCCCACACCTCCAGGGCACCGTCCCGCACCTACGGGCCCCCACCAGAGGGGGGTAAAAAGGGAGTGAGATACTCCCGTTCGGCGTCTGCTCCACGAGAGCCGCCGAGGAGACAGAGCGGCCTTGACGGTTTGGGAGGGAGTGTGAGGAAAATAAAAAGAAGCTTATTTTCCAACATGTTGGCTGAGTCATCAGTTTCAAATGTGTTTCACATATCCCCCACTCTGGGTAAACCAGCTGCCTATGACCTATCGGTTAATAGCCAGCAGGATTCGTTACAAAAGCCTCCGCATTTTAATCTATCGATTAATAAGCCGCGGAGCACAGTAATTACACCAGCTGCCTTCAATCTGGTGATTAGTAGGCAGCATGGTTTGCTGCAGGGTTCTGGTGGTTATAACTTTCGGTTATTAAACCACAGACCTCGCGGCATTCCTCTATCCGAGATACGCCACCTACACACGGTAACAATAAGCCCATGAGCGCCGTGGTAACGCCTCATGTGGTTATCACTGCACACACCTCCACCCATCCTCTGAGCGTGTACGAGCATCATGATGAGAGGCGGAGTGAATGCAACGTGTGGAGGCCTCCTCACAGCCTTTTCGCTAGGCCCACCTTGGGTTGCCTCACGGAGCCTCCGCCCCACCACCACACAGCACATTTCTGGAGTAAAATAATTGGTAGTTAGACAAAAAAGTGTGAAAGGGTTAGATTTTGGGAGTTTATTTTGAATTTAGACTACCGTTTGAGTTAAGGGATACTCTTGGGCGGAGTAATATTTCGGGGTTCATTCACTGGATGTTCAGGAACGTGACACAACACTACCCTGGTGTGTATTCACAACTTCTCTGCTGCCGCGACCACGAGGCTTCACTTTGACTCCGTCCCGAGGAAGGTAAGTCCTGTTTTACATCTCAAACTATATTTTCTGTCATTTTAAAGTTAATGTGTTTATTTTTGCTAAAACGAACTTAGCAAGTTTAACTAGCTGCTGAATTGAATGCCGTTGAACATGGACATGATTTAGGCTAATGCAAATTAACTTTATAGTAGTCATATCTGTTTATTTTGTGTTAGCTTAAAGTTTAGTTTGTTGTTCTTTCAACACCGAAAATGCCTTTTCCTCTGCATTAAACGTTGAACGGCTACGACGGTACCGGACGAGTCCCGCGGGCTACATTGAGGGAATGTGGACGAGGTGACGTACTTTCCCGGACATTTGTGTTGAGGTAACAGCTAGCTAGTAACACGACAAAGTAAATGGCGTCTTTATAAGTGTAAGGCGCAACAAAGCACAAAATTAGCTCGTTACTTGTATGGTCTTCGACTTTAACTATCTGCATGACGGGAGGAAAGAAAAATAAAGCAAACGTCCCTTTTCGCTGCGCTACACTCAGACTTAATGCAGGAGACGGGAGCAGAAATGGCGGAATAAAGAGGCTGGTTGAACCAACATTTCCCTCCACCGTGGAGACGACGATTCCCCGTTTCAACGGTGAAAAGAAAACGCGGTTGATTTTCAAATAAAAGAGTAGAAAACAGAGGTCGTTATGGTGCATCTCAGGTGATGTTACAGAGTAATCCAAAACTACTGTTACTAGTAGTGTAACTAATTACTTTCAGCAGTAAATAACGAAGTAAAGTAAGGGATATCTTTTTTTAAAGTAACTGTTAACATCTAACTCATTACTTTTTTCAAATAACTACCCCAAAACTGATCTTAATTGCCCAACCTGATGATGTAGGCTCGCGAATAGGCTACCTTAAAATGCTTATGAAATAATATTACCACATGGCTACCCAAGATCATTTTGTTAGTGACAGTCAACATGTTGCTAAAGTAAGAGCTATCTCTTTTTTCCTTAGTTGGCCAATATGTTGCTGAAGGTGAGACGTGGAGGGACAAAAAAATATGTCAAACTGGACGAAGTCCACTTCTCAGACTTCATCAGAGCAGGTAAGTGTTGTCTGTGTTGTTGAATTCATTAAAGGGGTAGTCAAAGTCCTTTATTTAATTAAGTGTCTATTGTTATGCTTCAGTGCAACAGAAGTTTCTCATACCAGAAAACACAATGCTGAAAGTCACCAATGAGCAAGGCATAGAGGTGGATGAGGATGTCTTTCCTGAAGTGGCAACAGTCCAAGACATTTGTTTTGTCATCGACACTGATTATGGTAAGGTGATATTTCTGGGTTTTGTTTTGTTGCAAAAAATGCTATGAGAGATTTGTATTTTCTATGTGTAAAAAACTGATTTTTAATATTCTGTACTAGCCAATAACCAACAGCAATCACATCATTTAGTATTTTCCCTCTCCACAGTAACATCTATGTATCATGTGCATTTCAGACCTCCCACTGGCAGAATCATCCAAAAACATGGATGACTGCTCCAACCTGACCGAATGTGTGATACTTACAACATGTGGTAGGTAGGGTTATAGTAAATGTTCATAATGAATAAAAAGTTGTTCTAATAAAATAAAAAGTAGCTCATTGGGCAAGTTGGGATCTTCCGGTAAATTGTAGTTTTTGCACATTGCAACTGGCACATATGTGATTTGGTATAATTGGCCATATGGATAATTTATGTTAATTGTGATCCCCAGATCTTACCAACCTGCAGCAACATGATGAAGGTCCCTTTTCTCCAAGTTGTACAGATACATTGTCTGTCTCAACCTCAAGCGGCCTAAGCAGTGACACAAGTGATGCTGGATGTGAAAGGATTCAACCTATGAGGGAGAGTACCCGAGCAAGAAATGTAATTGTACTTAAATACACTTTACTCTTTACTTTGCCTGAGATGAAAAGCAAGTTTAAACAAATTTGTGTCATGGAATTGAAGAAGCTTTGTTATTGATGATCGATTTGATCAGTAGTTGGTTACACATGATCTATTTTGTTAATTGTTTTTTGTTATTTCATATAAATTGGGTTTAGATGGTGGAGCAGGTTCTAACTTCTAAGCCGGCAGGGTTGACTGTAATCAAAGAGTACGACGATACTGGGAGTCTGAAAGATTCCACCAGGCGATTAATGGTGAACATCATTGTAGCTCACATGTGTGAAAAGGAAGGGTAAGAGCCTTGGCTTTAATGGCATGAATTATTCATTTATAAAGGGAAAAATCTTATTGTAAACCAATTATTTTTCTTTTGCAGGAGAGGTGTAAGTAAAGCGACGAAGGAGTTCCATGCACTTGGGATTGTGTCACTTTTCCCATCTCTTAAGGACCCTTACTCAACAAAAGGATATGTGAGTTTTGCATTGTTGCCATTTTTTTCACATTTAGGTTATTTGGTCTTTTGTGTACAAGCAGCAGCATATTTGCATTAGATCTATGAAAAACCTGATATTGTCTGCATTCTAACCAGAAGCGCTCTTTTCTTTTTAGGAACATTTCTATGACATTCAGAGCAACAAAGGCTTTCTCGAGTGGCGTCTCAAGACTGTGCAGCGCCAATCCAAACCCACGTCAACATTCCATGACAGAGTGGAGCTACAAGGAGGTCCAACATCATCCAGAAGTTTTGGTTCCATAAACGACCTGCAAACAGGAGACGACTGTATGGAAGCCATGTCTCTTCTTCACCACACCACTGACCATGACCTAGTCTTCCAGAAGATGAGAGAAACGTTCCACTATCGTCAACAGATGATCCATGACCAACAGCAATCTGCCAACATACTTCAAATGTTTCCTCGTTTCTTGGACACTAAGGGACTGGTACGTAACACATTTTGCATTTTGAATTCCCTCCTTGAAAAATACTTGGTTTACATTAAATGATTGTAATAATAATCTTACTTTCTTTTTTATTAGATTCTGCAAGATTTCTCATTGATGTTCGGAGCCGAAACTGCATCCAGGTTCCTGGAAAGATGGAACAGCGGTTTTAAAGACAAAGTCCTACGAGAGGCCAGGGACCAGAGAGACTCCTCTTCTGAAAAATCAGCTGAAATCTGCGCTGAATGAAGCATCTGACACCGATGAGCCAGGTACTTTCATACAGTCATACTCTATAAGTGTAGTAATATGGTCTTGAATATCAGGATAGGCATCATTTCTGATATTTTCACTAAGAAAAGCACATTAACATTATTTTTCACTACTAATAGGGATGACTTGATGTGATGTCAATTGAACTTTAACGTTCAATTGTACATTCCTGTCTGACAATATCATCTACGTCCTGTATGCTGTGCATCATGTTGTTGTGTATGCGGGGCCATCAGGGACATTATTCAGAAATACCGTTCACAAACAATTATGAAACACTCTCACATAACAGAAAAAAAATTATTTAAAAACGACAACTGAATTTAAAAGTTATTCACATACACATATGAAACACTCTCATATACACCTGTAAAATGTGCTCTCAGAAACACATGTGAAACACTCTCACACACGCATGTGAAATGCTCTCACACACACAAACACACACACACACTTGAAATGCTCTCATACACACATGAAATGCTCTCCCACACATGTTGTGTGGGAGAGCATTTCATGTGTGTTTATGAGAGTGTTTCCCATGTGTCGATACATGATTTTGGTTTCAGTTATGCGTGTGAGAGTTACATAATTATATGTGAATGGTATTTCTGAATAATGTCCCTGACATCCCCTCATAGTGGTAACCTTGTCCATGACAATGTAGAAATGTGAAGATGATTTCCACTGTCTGCAGAGTGGGACAGCGACATGACTTCTCTTCTTGTCTTGCTGCATCTTCTCACTCCACAACCAGCTGGAAGGAAGCGGGCCAAGAAAATCAGTGTCAGAGAGGCAATAGATCATCTGGTGATTTTTCACAAGGTTTGTCAAGACAATGCGTTCCAATTCCAAATATTGTGGTTTGTCCAATCATTTAAAAACTAATGGCTTATATGAAAATGCTTTTCATTTTGTTTCAGTCCTGCAAGAGCCTTGAGGATCACCTCATGACCATTGAGGGAACCCACCAGCCGTATCTTCTGGCCACAGGCACTTCAAAGGCATAGGTTTTCAGCTTCTACATCGTATTGGACAAAAAGCTTCTTCCTTGTCAGTCATGTACATCCTTGGGTGCATTTGTTGAGCTTTTCAAGTCCCACTTCACTTTTAGTGTGACATATGATGATGCTCTGTCCAGCCTGTACACATTTCTGCAGACTACTCTGTACAATATTGACATTGGCACAACAGTAGAAACTCCAAAAGTCAAAGAGTTAAGAGCAAAGCTCTTGAACAAGCAGTAATTAATTAATGCAGCACAAATGTTTGGATGTTTCCTCTGTGCTTCATCTTTTGATACAGCATTACTTTTGATCAGACACCTTAAACTAATTCATGGAATGTATCCTGGTAAAAACTTCAGACTAAATTGTGGGCAAACAGGATGTTGCTTGCAATTCTCAAGTTATTCTGGATTTAGAAGACATCTTATTAAGATACATGCTCATACTGATGAGACATGTGGGCCTCAAGAGACCCCTTCCAACCACAACAGCCAACAGCATGATAATTCTCAGTGCATGAATGATGAAACACCCTCTACTTCTTCTCAATGCCAAAATATTGAAGCAGTCCCTTCACTATCAACTCACAGCAAAGATATGGGTGCCTCCATTATAGCCAAACTTTTGGGAAGCGGTATTCCAAATACTGTTGTTCTCTCTACAATTGAGAATTTACAGGAATTTGTGGGAGATTTGCAGTCTAGTATTCAGGACCAAGTATTGAACTTACTCCCAGCCGACAATCCCTCCAGATCAGCTATTGAAGAACTATTTAATAGTATGGACAACCCTTTCAGCCAGTTGAATTCTGATAGCAAATGGAAGAAATATTTCGGGGAAAAATGGGATATAGTACAGCCAGTTGAACTACGCCTAGGTGTAAGGTGTGATGCCAGACGAAACAGCAAAAGTGGAACTTATGAGCAAGTTCCAATAAATGACAAATTCATTTATATTCCCATACTGAAAACACTGCAGTTTATTTTCAAGAATGAAAATATATGTGAAATGATGCAAACATTTACTCAAAGTGACACATATGAAGATTTCTGTGATGGAAGCTACTTTAAAAGTCATCCTTTGTTTTCAAGTAGTAAGTTTGCCCTCCAAATCCAATTGTACTATGATGATTTTGAGTGTGCAAATCCTCTTGGTTAAAAAAAAGGTATACATAAAGTTGGCTGCCTATACTTCATCCTTAGAAATCTTAATCCCAGGGTGAATTCTGCCCTTATGAACATTCATCTGGTATCATTGTTTCATGCACAAGATGCTAAGAAATACGGAATCGATGAAATACTGAAACCTTTAATAAAAGACTTGGAAAATATTGGAGACTACTGGAGTTGCTGTCCCATTTTCTGAAGTTTTTGTACGTGGCACTCTTGCACAAGTTACTGGTGATAACTTGGGTATGCATAGCATTCTTGGATTCATGGTGTCATTTAGTGCAAATTATTACTGTAGATTTTGCTTACTTGATAAATCTTCAGCGCAGTCAGTTTTCTCAGAAGACGACCCACATTTGACTTTAAGATCACCAATTTTGAATGATCAACATTATACCAACTTGGCAGAAGATCCAACATTAACCTCTTCATTTGGCATCAAGAGAAAGAGCATACTAAATACTTTGCAATATTTCAATATTGCAGAAAACTTTGGTGTAGACATCATGCATGACAATTTGGAAGGGGTTGGTCAATATGAGGTCAAACTGCTATTTGAGTACTTAATATAAAAAGTCATGTCTAAAGAAACCTTGTTAAACAGGGTGTATTCTTTTAACTATGGCTATTTGGAAAATAAAAACAAGCCAACAAATATTAACCTTGATGGTGTAGGAAATGGAATAGGGTTAAATGCATCACAAACACTGTGTTTGATCACGAACATACCTCTGATATTTGGCGACTCGGTACCAGAGGATGACTTGCACTGGCACTTATTGCTCTTGTTGCTGAACATTATAAACATTGTGTTCTCTTACTCTATCACCAAAGGGATGACTGTGTATTTAAGCACCTTATCATTGAACACCACCAACTCTTTAAAGAACTGTACCCTTCAAACAACCTGATTCCAAAACATCATTTCATGATCCATTATCCGAGGTGCATTCGGAAAATTGGACCACTTATTCATATTTGGACTATGAGATTCGAAGCGAAACACACATTTTTCAAAGATTGTGTAAAGAACTTCAAGAATTTGACAGTATCACTTGCGAAAAAACACCAGTTTGCATTAGCTTATCATTGGGAATGCTTGACTTTAAAACCAGTTCAGTCTGGTCCAGTTAAAATGTGTGTACTTGAAACACAAGACTATACTGTTTAGAGTCGGAGAGGTCCTGATAATTTATTCCGGTAAATTACTCTGACCTACTAATTGACCTTTCCGAAGTTATTGAGTCTATGTAAGGTTGCTGCTTGGCTCAGATCCACCAACGTCAGCAAGATCTCAACTCTATTAACTTCCCGAATAATCTAGGTTCAATTAACTGCTGTTTCAATTCAGACAACTCTTTTTAATCTGTTTAAGGGATCCCGAAGGATTTTGATATCAGTAAATGGAGTGTGCTCCTACCTAAGTGTGTGTGGCAGGGTGCAATCTTACATTTTAAGCAGGAGAGGAGAGCACAGGTGTCTTTTAAATTATCCCAATCCAACAGGTGGGATTCAGTTTATTTGAAGAAAAATAGGTCCAAACTAATACAGGGTTTTTACCTTCTCTCTTTACAACATTATAATCATACTAAAAACCTGGTGCTGTGATCATGTTCAAATATGAAACTTTAATTCACAGTCTTACATTTATTACCAAAATGTTTTAATTTCAACTGCCCAATTCAGTTGTGACATTTTAAAATTCTCCCGATAGAATTTAGAGGTATTTCCTCGTAAAAAGACCGGTGACCATAAAAAGCGCATTCAACTTTCCATTCACCAAATCAATTCACATCAGTTTCATACCCTTTTTTCCGACACAGACGGCGGGTTAACATTCAAAAACCCATACCTGTCCGCAATATTTCGGAGGGAGATTTTTTCCTCACAGGTGGCGGGCTATAATATTCACAAACACATCTCTCATCAAATCATTCCACTCAGCCAACAACCAAGAAATTAGAGAGATATTTACCCCGTCTGGCAGAACCTTACCGAAAGCTAGTTACCCAGCTCTGGCGCACACAGCCTACTGGGAGAGAGTCTACCAGGGGTTTCCCCCCCTCTCTCAAAAAACCAGTCTCTTTATGCAAAAAAAACTGGATCGAAACCCCAAAAAACAAACTCCTCCTCTACACCCAATTTGTGGAAAACTGCGCATGCCCTCTAATGTACAAGGCTAAACATGACCCGACATGTTCCATAGCTTTATGGCATAAGACACACCTTCTCATGTTAGTGTAAAAAAGACTTGACCCTTTTTTGACGCCTCAATGTTTTTCTCCTTCAGTAAGGAGCCCCCATCCCTGTGTACTGCTGTCACAGGAAAGGGAGAAAAGGCCTACTCTCTTTATCAGAGACACCCATAATTCTTATAGGCCTTACACTCAACCTAAACAAACCACTTTGTTTTGTTTATACTGTAACTATAGAAAAACCTAAAATATTTAGCATTTTCATTGTGGGTTATACAAGAATATAATTGATTATATTTGATTATAACTAACTTTCGTTTTTAACTATTAAACATACTATGAAAACTCACAACACCCTCTTTTCAAAACGCAAAGTTATCAAATAGCAACAGAAAAAATTGTAAGCATACATACATATTCAAAGACCGTCAAGAAGCATTCTCATTATGGGTTTATACACGAATATGATTGATCATGTATGATTTATAATTAACTTTCGTTTTTAAGTATTCACTTCATACCATGATCTCAATTAACTTTCGTTTTAAGTATTCACTTCATATGAAAATCTCAACACCCTCTTTTCAAACGCAAAGTTATCAAATAGCAACAGATAAAATCGTAAAAACACATACATATTACATCCGTAAAACTCCAAGCATCAATATCATGAAAAGTTATTCAGTATGTGTAATCAGGACGACCTTTTGATGAACCTGGTGTGAAGAACACGAAAAACATAGTACCTCACTGGAATGTTCTCGTTATCAAATAGGTCAGGCATCCGAGTAAAAAGAGTCATGATGATCATAGATTTGTGCGCACCCCCACTCGGTCTGGCATTTGTTATGGACCTCGTCAATAGTCGCTCATGACTTTGTGACAAGGTCAATGAGGCCCCACACAATGATAGCACAAACGAGGAACCAGAGGCATATGAAACAGCTTAGCTGGCACTCGCTCATGACATCCTGTGTGTGCAGTGTGAGATTAGGTGTATGTGGTGCCAGTGTGGTGCTGGTGGTACTTGTTGTCGTCTTCCGTTGGTGACTAGGACACATCACTTGTTGTCGTCTGTTTCTACCGTCTCTCCTGGCCTGTGACTACGACCCTGCAGTGGCTGGCGTGGACCCACGTGGCTCTCTCGGTGACCTTGACCGCTGTCTGGGTGATGAGGAGCACCTGGTAGGGACCTTGCCAACGGTTGGATTTCCAGCTCTTTCTCCGGAAGTCCTTGACCAGCACGAAGTCGCCGGGTTGGAGATGGTGAAGTGGACCAGTGGCAGGGGGTAGGTAGGGTTGCTGCTACCTGGCGTCTGATATCTGACCATGCAGTTATCAGGTAGTCGTCATCCTTTCCTGGGAAATCCACTGCGATCTGAGTGGTTTTTTGGGCAAAGATGCACTCTTTCCTCCAGCACTCGAAGAATCGTCCTCCTCCTCTGGCGGGGTCATAGGTGACTCAGCCGCTGATCCATTCTGCACCAGTTTTCTGGTTTCAGGAATTGGCTTTACTGGAAACCCTGTGCCTGAAGTAGTTCCGCTTGGCAGGTTCAATTCCTCTTTGTAGATTCCAGAGGTACTAATATCATCCATATAGTTATGATCATACACGTATGCGACCTCTGATTCATTAATAATTGTTTCATTTGAAACAATTTCCCCCAGGAATCCTTCCAAGGGGTCTGGTAATCCATGTTCCTCTGGAATTTCTATTGACAGCAAGGACATCTTTTTGGCTTGGGCACCCGGGGAGACCTCCGAATCAGATCGCTCTTTTCTCTTAGTCTCCTCCTTTTCACCGCTTGCCCCTTCCGGTCCCTCTGCACAGGTTTCCTGGGTCCAGGAGTCTACTTGGCTTCACTTGAGGCACTGTGACTGAAGTTTCCCCGCTAGGTAGGTTAAAATCATCTTGGTAGATTGCTGAGGTATTAATCTCAACAATATAGCTAAAATCAAGTTTAAATAATTTCTCTGATTCATAAAAAGTTGTTTCAGTTAAAAAAAAAACGTCCCCAAGGATTTTCTCAAGGGGGTCGTGTATTCCATATTGCTCTGGAATTTCTATATACAGCAAGGTGATTGTTTCTCCTCTTACTCAGTTGGCCTCTAACGGCAGAAAGCACTGGGCCATAATTTACTCTTATCAGTTTAACGACCTGACAGCCCTACACCTTTATGCTGTGTGAGAACCAGCAAAAAGAACGAGAGATGTGCTCAAAAAATCTAATTTAAATGAATACTCTTCTAGGGTGTAAGCGTATATCAATTAAAATAACTGAAAAGAAAACTAATAGTGTAAAGTTAAAAAAAAAAAAACAATGAGAAAAATAATATAAAGGTTATTTTCCATTTCCTCTTTGATACTGAGGTATTCTCCATTCAAGCTCTAATGATCCATATGCTAATAGACAGAGTTTCGTCTTGCCATTTTTCTGCATAATTCACTAAATATTCTAACAGTTCTACTGCTAAATCATTTGC